TTCTCTCTTTCTCTCTCTCTCTCTCTCTCTCTCTCTCTCTCTCTCTCTCATCTACACACACACACACACACACACACACACACACACACACACACACTAGCGCTCAACACAGACAGCATCGTCAGAAGGAAGAGCGCAGGGCAAGCTAGCGAGACAGAAGTTAAGCTCTCCTTGCAACATGGCAAATTGAACCTCCCCCACCCTCATTCAGATCTGGCGTTTGGAATTATTTTGGTTTTCATGTGACGATATGACCCTGAAGGTAAGCGCGTCATGGACTAAAGTAAAACAGTATGTTGGATGTGCCACGCAATGCTCAATTACATGGGTGGGAACTAGTGTGTTAGCGCAGTTAGCTCGTTAACGTGTTGGCCGTCTAGCCCCACGCAGGGGTAGCTCGTTAACGGAGATTTGCCGTGTTGTGGCGTTAACGTCATTTCAACGAGATTAACGCTGACAGCACTAGTGGGAACACAACGAATATGACTGCACATTTACGCCGACATCATCCTAGTGCAAAGACAAGTGGAAGCAGACAAAAACAACAAGCATGCATGCTACAAACTTTACCCGAGTCATTTAGACAGCCGTTAGCACATGATTCTCCTTATGGGGACCTGATATGTTTAATATTGTGGCGAGCTCAGACAAGGAGGAGACGGAGGTGTCGTTTGGTCTTGCTTCCCGTGAGCTAGCCAGGGAGCACAGCCGTTTATTGACATCTGCAGAAGAACACTGCCGCTAGCTAACTGCTCAGCGCCAACAAGCAACAACAACACACAGGGCGCCCTCTGACCCCGGAAGGACACACCGTCGCAGCGAGAGGGCGTCACCCGTCACTATGGCAACATAAACAAAACATAACTGTACAAACAGAACCCCGAACAGCCCTGACCCGCTACATAGCCCCCACCTAAGGGGTCAGTCGTCCCCGACGACCCCATTACCCCACACAAAGTCCTGCAAATGTCCAGGTGCCTTCTTTTGGCGCACCGGCCGGTCACGACCGGCGGGGGAAAAGTCACTCGGGTCAGAACATGGGGTGCCACCATCATCCCACTTCTGACACCAATGTGGCGAGCTCAGACAAGGAGGAGACGGAGGTGTCGTTTGGTCTTGCTTCCCGTGAGCTAGCCAGGGAGCACAGCCGTTTATTGAACTGAAAGACCTGCCGCTAGCTAACTGCTCAGCGCGCAACCGCACAACAACAACAACACACAGGGCGCCCTCTGACCCCGGAAGGACACACCGTCGCAGCGAGAGGGCGTCACCCGTCACTATGGCAACATAAACAAAACATACTGTACAAACAGCCCTGACCCGCTACAATATGCTGCTGAGAATATAGCCCAGAAGAAGCGTATAGTATAGCTTTTATTTTGGAAAGAGCCATTTCTCTGTAATAAACTCTCTTTTCCAAAGATGAGTGATTCCTCAATCAGATACAGGGCTCTGCAAATCGCTAGCCCGACGTCCCGGGGCTAGCGATTTTTCCAGTCGGGCTACCAAAATCTATCTGCCTGCTCGGCAGTAGAAGGAAAAATATTTGTGGCGAGCTCAGACAAGCGAGGAGACGGAGGTTCGTTTGGTCTTGCTTCCCGTGAGCTAGCCAGGGAGCACAGCCGTTTATTGACATCTGCAGAAGAACACTGCCGCTAGCTAACTGCTCAGCGCGGCAACCGCACAGCAACAACAAAACACACAGGGCGCCCTCTGACCCCGGAAGGACACACCGTCGCAGCGAGAGGGCGTCACCCGTCACTATGGCAACATAAACAAAACATAACTGTACAAACAGAACCCGAACAGCCCTGACCCGCTACAATATGCTGCTGAGAATATAGCCCAGAAGAAGCGTATAGTATAGCTTTTATTTTGGAAAGAGCCATTTCTCTGTAATAAACTCTCTTTTCCAAAGATGAGTGATTCCTCAATCAGATACAGGGCTTGCAAAATCGCTAGCCCGACGTCCCGGGGCTAGCGATTTTTCCAGTCGGGCTTTGTAGGAAGGAAAAATATATTGTGGCGAGCTCAGACAAGGAGGAGACGGAGGTATCGTTTGGTCTTGCTTCCCGTGAGCTAGCCAGGGAGCACAGCCGTTTATTGACATCTGCAGAAGAACACTGCCGCTAGCTAACTGCTCAGCGCGGCAACAGCACAGCAACAACAACAACCTCTGACCCCGGAAGGACACACTGTCGCAGCGAGAGGGCGTCACCCGTCACCATGGCAACATACACAAAACATAACTACAAACAGAACCCCGAACAGCCCTGACCCGCTACAATATGTCAATGCTTTTGCATTCTTTCGGAAATGTAGCTGGGTAATTATGTCATTGGCATCGGTGAGCCACTGTCAATATGTGACATATTGAAATCGCGTTTGAATTTGCGCTTGTTTTTTGCTTTCACTTTGCAATCGCGCGAACTGTGTATAGAGAGCGACAGCACTGATTGGTGAGTGATGATAATTTGCGCACCAATTCCTCTGACATCGTCTTATCAATCGTTAGCTTACTATGCAAACATGACAAGTGAAATCTCCCGCAGCAAGCTTAAACATAGTGAGAGGTTGATCGCGCAGAGAATCGCTGACCGTTATGTGTGTGTTGTGTGTGTGTGTGTGTGTGTGTGTGTGTGTGGGTGTGTGTGTGTGTAGTGTGTGTATATGTATGTATGATAATGGAAATAGCCAGTTTGACTGACAAGCTGAGGGCCATTTATGTCCTCACAGTGCCAGCAAGTCTACATCAATATTTGACAGAAACTGTCAGTTGGTTTACTTTTCCTGATGACATGTGTAGCGCTTCAGTTATTGTTGGTGAAGCTGGGAAACAGCCATGGTCACACATGTCCTCCATCTTGAACTGCAGCTGGCGGTCCTTATTCTTCCTGGCATAGCAACTCGTGAACTAGTTCTGCTGCATCACCAGCCACAGTTGAGCATGGAAGAGAAAGTAGATAGCACCCATAAATTTGCACCTTATCACAGATGCATGGGCTACGTCCACACGTATGCAGGTATTTTGTTAAACCTCTGTGCATCTTGAAATGCATTTTAAAATTCATTTTCTGTGTTTACACAGAAACGATGTCAAAGGTGTGTACCTTTATCTCCTTTTACTTTTGATTTCAGACTGTGTGCTGTATTATCATTTGTGGGCTTTTGATTGGCCAGCATTTCTTCACTGTTATGGTTAAAGTGTACCTCTGGACGTACCCTCAGTCGCTGTCAGACAAATATCATATTGGTGCATCCCTGACAGTTAAACTGTAAACTTTGATCTGTGCTTTTATAGGACCCCTCATCCATGGCTGTCCCTCTTCTACCTCTGCTGTGGAAGGACCCACAGTCAGCAGCACCATAGCATAAATACTGTTGTCTTACACCCTGCACTGTTTCTGTTTGTTGCAGCTGATGAGGACCTGTGCTGACCTCTTCCGTCTGGTGCCCTTCATGGTGTTTATCATCGTCCCCTTCATGGAGTTCCTTCTTCCCGTCTTCCTCAAACTGTTCCCAGAGATGTTGCCCTCCACCTTTGAGACGGAGACCAAAAAGGCATGCACACATACCCATACACACACTCTGCTGCCTGAGTAAACTTATAATAGGGTTCATTGGGATTATATAACCTTTCAGACGGGACTCCAGCAGGCTGCTGACTTGATCTAATCTTGATAGAAATACAATAATGTAAACAAGCAAAATACAAGAATGGCTAAATCTGAAACTAATAAATATATGTACAATATATAATAGTATATGCATTTCTGGATGTGTATACTAAATATTTTTCTACGTGTGTGTGTGTGTGTGTGTGTGTGTGTGTGTGTGTGTGTGTGTGTATATGTATGTATGATAATGGAAATAGCCAGTTTGACTGACAAGCTGAGGGCCATTTATGTCCTCACAGTGCCAGCAAGTCTACATCAATATTTGACAGAAACTGTCAGTTGGTTTACTTTTCCTGATGACATGTGTAGCGCTTCAGTTATTGTTGGTGAAGCTGGGAAACAGCCATGGTCACACATGTCCTCCATCTTGAACTGCAGCTGGCGGTCCTTATTCTTCCTGGCATAGCAACTCGTGAACTAGTTCTGCTGCATCACCAGCCACAGTTGAGCATGGAAGAGAAAGTAGATAGCACCCATAAATTTGCACCTTATCACAGATGCATGGGCTACGTCCACACGTATGCAGGTATTTTGTTAAACCTCTGTGCATCTTGAAATGCATTTTAAAATTCATTTTCTGTGTTTACACAGAAACGATGTCAAAGGTGTGTACCTTTATCTCCTTTTACTTTTGATTTCAGACTGTGTGCTGTATTATCATTTGTGGGCTTTTGATTGGCCAGCATTTCTTCACTGTTATGGTTAAAGTGTACCTCTGGACGTACCCTCAGTCGCTGTCAGACAAATATCATATTGGTGCATCCCTGACAGTTAAACTGTAAACTTTGATCTGTGCTTTTATAGGACCCCTCGTCCATGGCTGTCCCTCTTCTACCTCTGCTGTGGAAGGACCCACAGTCAGCAGCACCATAGCATAAATACTGTTGTCTTACACCCTGCACTGTTTCTGTTTGTTGCAGCTGATGAGGACCTGTGCTGACCTCTTCCGTCTGGTGCCCTTCATGGTGTTTATCATCGTCCCCTTCATGGAGTTCCTTCTTCCCGTCTTCCTCAAACTGTTCCCAGAGATGTTGCCCTCCACCTTTGAGACGGAGACCAAAAAGGCATGCACACACACACATACCCATACACACACTCTGCTGCCTGAGTAAACTTATAATAGGGTTCATTGGGATTATATAACCTTTCAGACGGGACTCCAGCAGGCTGCTGACTTGATCTGATCTTGATAGTTTACTCTGAGACACGTGTCTGGCATTTATAAGCACAATGTAAACTCTAAATGTTTTGTTTTTTAACATGTTGTCAGCAGACAACCTTTGAACTTTTTATGTGTTAAGTAGGTGCATCTGTCAACAACTGTAACTATTCCTATGACCTGTTCTGATATCGGTCTTTCTTAAACTGCATCATCATTTCTGATGTGTTAAACGCCGTCTTCCCTCACGCACTGAAAGTTTCTGTTGTGTGCGCCCTGTTATCTCTGATCCTGCGTGGTTGTTCTGGAGCACAGCTGAATGATTCAGAGATATGTTGTCATGCTGCTGGGCAGCTTGGAGGTGTCTGCTCTCTGAAACTTAGTTAACAATAATAACAATTAAAGAAAAGAGTAAAACAGCGTTAAAAGCAATGTCAGGGAAAGTCCAAGCCAAATGTAAACTCAACTTACTGTGATATACATTTTATTATTTGCAGTAAGCAAAATGCTGTCAAAGGGAAAATGTGGGCTTCCTTTTTATTGAGCTGTAAAAGCTTCTTATCCTAAACATTCTTCCTGATACCTATACTGAAGCATAAATTAGTTTCCCATAAAAAGCTCTATGGTTTCTGTATAATATATATAATGGGTGTTAAATGCAGCTAAACATAATCAATCAGAGACTGTGTTTTGTTTTGTTTTCCCCCCCTTCTCAGATGATCTTGTCGCATCACTCTGATCTCTTCCCCAAAATGTTTTCCTCTCTAAACTTTAAGGACATAGTTTCTTTAGCCTCTCTTTGCTTGTTGCCTTGCATTTTTAAACAATTGTTGTCATCCTGCAGGAGGAGAAGCAGAAGAAAGGTCTGGCTGCGAAGCTGGAGCTGGCTAAGTTTCTGCAGGAGACGATCGCTGAGATGGCTCGAAGGAATAAAGCAAAGTCGGACGATGAGGCGCAGCGCTTCTCCAAATACGTTCAGGAGGTGAATGACAGCAAACTCGTTGCTCTAACGTTGTTACTGATCCGCTGTCACGTGTTTGAGGGATGACTGAAGAAGCTTTACTATAGTAATGCGTCCGTAACTTTCCATTTCAGGTTCGGGGCACAGGAGAGCAACCCCAAACGAAGGACATTGTCCGCTTCTCCAAGCTGTTTGAGGACGAGCTGACGCTGGAGCACCTGGAGCGCCCCCAGCTGGTGGCTCTGTGCAAACTGTTGGAGCTGCAGCCTATTGGCACCAACAACTTGCTGCGCTTTCAGCTGATGATGAAACTCAGAGCCATCAAGTCGGACGATGAGGTGAGACTGAGCACCGGCACCCGAAAGCTCGTTACCACAAGTTTACAGCTGTGACTAGGAGAGATACACAAAGGCTGTAAAACTAAACAACCATTAATCATCTCAGGTGACATCACAGGCTGGGTTTAATCATCTGCCAGTTATGATCAGATTATCTCTTTCTCTTCTTTCCTGCTTTACTTAGTGTCTGATGTTACTGCACATAAAAATAGTACATCTTTAACAAGAAGTAAATCTGTAATAAATGTCTCTGACTTGACTTGTTTCAGATCAGTTTTACTACAATGTTTCCTTTTAAGGTAGAAAGTTCTGAAACACCAAATATATCCTCTTTTTACTGTGCTGCATATGTACACAGCTGCTAGACATACGTTGATCAAGCTAAAGAGTAACTTTTCTCATGCTTCAGTTTTTCACTTCCTCTTTCATCCCTTCACAGATGATTGCAGCCGAGGGTGTGGCGGCCATGAGTGTGTCAGAGTTGCAGGCAGCGTGCCGCATTCGTGGGATGAGGTCTCTCGGTCTTACTACAGATCAGCTTCGTGAGCAGATGCAGCAGGTGAGCAGCCGGTTTTTAACGTGTTTTCTTTAAGCGTTCAGTTGGGAGTCGCCCACAGACAACGCTGTTTGAGGTCAGCTGGAGCAAAATGGTTCAGATTTGCTCTTGAAGACAAGTTCATCTTGGAGAAAAATGAGGAGTACTGTAGGACATGATGGCAAGCTATTGGTCCAGTTATTGGATCTGCTTTTCAGCCTGTTGAGACTAATATTAGCAGGTTTGCCAACTTTGCAAAATAAATCCTTACAAATACAGGCATCCAAGAATATAAGTGCACTGAATGGGTTTTAATTGGAAAAATAATAAAGGAAAATGAGGAAATAACAGAATAAAATAAATAAAAAAGTTATTGGTGTTTACAACAACACAGATCTAAATTAATGAGACAATCTCACCACCACCGATTTTTCCATCCAGTTCTTAAAGTCAGGATCAGGTCGACGTCTGATCCAAATATCAGAGCTAATTAGAAAAAAACCTTTTAATCAAAAGCAAACCTTTTATACCTTTCCAGTAATCTCGTTTCATAAATGTTTTTCTCTCATCTAGTGGCTGGACCTGCACCTGAATGAGAACGTTCCTCCATCGCTGCTGCTGCTCTCCAGAGCCATGTACCTGACAGACCTCAAACCCAAACCCCACGTCATCCCGCCTGTTCCTAAGATCGAGGTTCGTCCTTTGCAGACAATTTAAAATCCTACAACTTAATTCACTGACCTATCAGTCGGCCAGAGAAAGCTGCACAACGCTTAACACTCCAGCTGTGTAAAAAAAACCAAAAGAAAAACAGGATCGTCTTTGCTAATCATGATGGAAATAAAAACTGTTTTAAATACAACCAAAAGAACAGAGTAGAAAGTAAAAAGCTGGAAATATAAAAACAGGTTTTGAATGTGAAATGGAGCACATCTGAGAAAGAGAATGATAATCAAATTAAACCAGAGCAGTTTATGATTTTAGACGTGTTCTTCTCACCTCATATTTGTTGGTTGGTCTGCAGAAGGTTGGTGTGACTCCAGAGGAAAACCCAGTAGCAAATACAGTCCCAGTCAGCAGCGACAGGTTGGCAGACCCTGCACTCATCATCAAAGACAGACCGGTCAGTGCACGCCTAACAAAACCAAACACTGAACCCCAACAACACACATGAGCACGAGGTCAGATGAACTGTATTTATGACACAGGAAATTGGGCCAAAGCTGCAGGTCTGCAGAGATTTCCTCCTCAAGACCAAAACTTTATTTTCATGCTGGAGGAGCTCTGCTGCCCATTTTTAGGCATACTTGAGTGCATGGATATTTTCTGAGATATAAGGGACAAAATAAATTACTAATCGTCATTTATACCTCCCAACACAGGACATAAAGCCAGTCAGTTGTATCCATTATTATTATCTAATGATATATTTATCATATTTTTCTTCTCCTCTATCGACTTTTAGGCAGAGGAAGTGAGAGACAAAGCTCCAGCCGTGTCAGACAAACCTCTGACTCCTGCTGAAGTCCTTCAGGTGAGTGTCCACAGAAACCTGAATGGTTTCCAGTAATTTCTTCCCACTTTGGTCTCATTCGTCTGTCACACTGACCTGAACATGCGATTGACGTGCTCTTATGATAAATCTTTTAGGTAATCACTGAAAGCAGAATAAAACATAGACACAGAATAATAAATTAATCCGTGAGGGTTAAAAATATCTGAAAACGACCTGTGACTGTCACACAGTCACATTTATCTTTTAAAGTCAGTCCTCCCAAGATGTGTAAAGACATTTTAAGATTCTTTGTACGGATTTTTTTTCATCTTATTTTTAGCATCTTTCAAACGAGTCTAATTTCAAATGTTCATGACTGCCATTAGTCCTGGTCGTTTGATTTCTCCTTTGTTTATTTATGTTTTAAAGACGTGAAATCATTTTTATCCGTCATGATAAATCAGTGAAACATGTTAATGATGCCTTTGCAAAGTCTGGGCCTAACTGAGCGCTTTCAGAGCTGATTAGTGGTGAACTATTCACTCCTGGCTGCTGATTTGAGGTGTTCTTTAAGCTCCAGAGAGATTGTACTGTGCTGCAGTTTGTGCAAGGTGTGAGTGATGTCAGGTGATGAGCTTTTTCTCTCAACTTTCAGTTGTGCAGAGCACCGTTTGCTCACCCTGCCCCCCAGAGTGAGACGGCCAACAGGGAGGTTTACTGTAACATCCTGAGGCAGTCTAAAAATGGCATTAGTGTGGGAAACCATAAGAACATACCTAAGGGGAGATTGGATTTGTGCCTTAAGTTTTGACATTTTAGACACTGAAGTTAAAGAAATGCACTGTTATTTGGGTGTATTATTAGGATTTTTTTTGTGCAGATGTTTTAAAAATATTTTTTTCTACATTTGGAAGATCACACAAATCATGGGCTCCAAATACACAAAGAAGCAGACATCTTTTTACCTCTTTCCTGCAAACATCTTCCGCTCTTTATGGATTGTTAATATATTCACGGCTAGTGTGTAAAAGGCCAAGTCAAGCCACAGGTCTAGGTGTATGGGCTTCTTTATCTACCGACAGCTCATGGCCGTAAATTCTTCAGAATTGCATATTCTTCAATGTGTTTGCCGTGTTTTCTCAGTGTCTGGGCACCATGCTGCAACTCGTTTGACCCAGGCAACAACGTCACTGTGTCCATTGTATTTCTTGGGTCACTGCAGACTTCTTAACAGCGTTAAGAAGAAATTTGTTTTGTCTTGATACATGTTCAGTAGGAGATGATAATGTTTAAACACTCTTCCAATCTTTTCCACAGGCCAAAGCGGCAATAGAAGGAACTCAGAAGAGCAAGATCAGTGCGAACGGCGTGTGAAGATGAGCAGGAGAGCCTGGAGCGAGGGGAGGAATGGACGGGGCTAAAACCCCTTATTCTGTTTTTGAACCAGCATCTCACCCAGGAGTCCTGCCCGCTCCTCATCTTCCTCACTGCAGGTTCGGCGGCTTCACCTCAGCTTTGCGCACCCCGATCTCTGACACTCTCCCAACGTGCTACCGCCCTGGCAGTCAGCTGATGGCTGCTGATTCTGTGACCTGAAGTCATTTCCTGGTGAACTGTTTGTGATGACGATGGTTTCTCCCTTTGTACATTTGTAAATATGCTCATTTTTGTTTTTGTGTTCTGTAACTGAAGCAGCAGCAGCTTTGTACAGTTTGTTATGCGCATACCAGGTTTTATTTGCAGGTGTTTTTAACTCCTGTGCCAGCTGAGAGAGAAGTCAACCCTTTTCTTTTTTCTTTTCTTTTTTTCCCCACAGTAGCTGCCCCACCTTTGTTAAAGTCAGCTGTAGGCACCAGAAAGATGCTGCCTACATAAAATATAAAAGGTATTAAAATGTCAGAGATTGAGTTGATCTGATGGTGAAACAGCAGGTTTAGATTGGGGTGGGTGGGGGGGGTGATGATGACGTGCTGCTGTTAAGTGAAGAGGGGTTCGTCATTAAGTGCGAGCTCACTGGTACAGCCACTGAAAGGACCAGCTATTTCAAGTGTATTATGTTTTAACACTATGATGCTAAAGAGTCTTTAAACGGAAAATGCTTGATGTCCGCTCGCGTGGAGAAGCTGTAAGCCTGAAGCCACACATGAGATGATTATTTTTTGGTATCGTGGCTGATTTGCCCAAATGTCTAACATCGTTATGCCCCCATATTTACTGTCATGAAAGTTGGAAGGTTTCTCCAGCTTTGTGTGTGTGATGCTTCAAACTCCCTGTAAACATTTAATGGAGAAGCAACTTGTGTGGTGTTTTATTTCTTTTTCTTTTTACCCCACTCGTTGCTATTTATCCGTAGGCACCTCCTGGAAGTGGATGACATAACTGAAAGGACATTTTAACTCCAATCATTGCTGGTTAAGACTTGTTTCACTGGTTTTACACATGTGCCTAAGGTTAGAGGGTGATTGTCTGTCATCAGAATATATTACTTTGGTTTTTCAGTCACCTCTGTGTTTGAAGCGCCCAGTTGCACCTTTTTCTCTATAGACGAATGTCTCCTGTTTGGCCCCTTCCCGTTTGATCCAAATGATTCCTCGAATTATAATCACCAGTGTTGTTACTGATGGGAAAAGCAGACACCTTTTCAATCATCTCTACATCCTGCGCTGAAGGAGATCAATAAAAAGACTCAAAACTTTCTCTCTTTTGTGCTTCAGTTTTTAATGGATGTGAACTGTTTTTGCAACGTTGTGTCATCAGTAACGGATCAGTGCTTTCTAAAGAACCCTGTAGTCACACCTGACTCTGGGGTCAGAGGTCATGATGGGTGTACTGCAATGCCAGTTCAGCATATCCAGGCTTTCTTTGTGTTCGCAGGTTTGACAAACTCGGACCCAGTTAGAGATAAAGGGTGTCAACTTTCTCTTTTTCTCTGCCCACTTCAGAGCCGTTACAGTCATTAGTCTCATTAGTTCATAGCTTTTAATGCTTTCAGTGTGTTGTGGATGAGTGCTAGCTAGTTACTCGAGCTCTTAATTCGAAACTTTAGTTACTCAAAACTTTAAACTTGATTTGTTCAAACATTAAATGTTACTCCATATTCAGGATTTTGTCCTGTAACCTAATCAAGGAGACATTAAATCACTTTAGTTTGTGTTTCTGATCAAAGTTCTACTCATTTAATATTCTTGCTGATAAATGGCCTGTAAATAGACTTGTTGCAAATTAGGATCAAACATAAAACCACTTACAGATGTGTACAGGTGTAGTCAGAAGTTGACATACACTCATCATGGGAGCAGCTGCCCACATGGAGGAGCCAAATACCTCCTGAAGAAGAATTTTATGGTCATACAAGATCAGAGTATTGAGGGTTTTTTGTTTTTTTTTATCACAATGAGAAGAGGTATGTTTGGAGGAGTAAAGTTGAGGCTTTCAATATTTATATAATTTCCTGAAGCCTGTCGTGAGAGACATTGAACCTGCTGAGACATTTGACAGTTTCATGAAGTTCTGCGTGAATAATCGAACAGATCTTGTGCCTGTTAGACCTGACGCTAAAGTGAACTACACACGGTGACAAGAACAGATCAGATGAAGCTCAGGAAGTGCAGAGAGCTTAATGCGATTGATGTCGAAAAGCTCTTAAAGAAAAAGCTGGAGCTTAAAATCAGAAGTAGAGACTATAGAGGTGTCGTCCAAGGGTTTTCTCTATAGTCACCCGCATTACATTGATGCTGCTGGGCAGCAACATCCAAACAGAGCTGCTCTGAGGCCTTCATCATATGGAGAAACACAGAAAAGGAAAAAGAAGAGAGTGCAACAGCAGCATGGTGTATCAGTCATTTGGCCCTTCATCTGAAACTGTTTTTGGATTTTTTAATATGGACTTCTGTGAAAATGAGTTTAGATCACTCATTCCCAAACTTAAGAATGTCACAAACCAAGAGACACTACTCTTCTCCCCCCGCAACACCCTCATGGCCCACCAGGGGGCAGCACCCCACACGTCTAACCCCTGGTTTAGAAATTTGAAGATCTCGTAGTCAAAGGAAATCTAGATTTATGGTTTTGAGAAACATCCCGATGACTTTTCAGTAAATTATAATTTAAAAAAAAAATAATCTAAAACCTTTCATCTAATGCCAACATCTGTGGATGGATGACACCAGTGTGAGCTGCTCACCTGCGCTGTGAAGGATATCAAAGACATTTTTAAAAGAGTCAGAAAAGTTGTTGTCTCTAGTTTGAGCTTGAGTCGAAGGTTTAAATGAATGTGTTTTCTCTGGGTCGAGATTGACAATGAATGACAGAGTGAGTGTGTGAATGTCTGTGGTGTATTTTGGGAGATGGTGACGGGAAGGGGGTTGAATTTTTTGTCGCCATGGGGACAGGAGGGGCTGACATTTGAAGTTTATCTCATACACAAGCAGTGCTGCCGTGGACTCGCTGGAAGCACAGGTCAGTGTGTGTTTGTGTGCTTTGTGGTGAATTTGTCTTAACCTGAATGTTTTACACGCTATGGTGTCCTCCCGCCTCTTCTCAAAGAGCAAACAGAGCCAACGTGTTCATGATTACAGGCTCGACCTGGTGAGAGACTTTACGTGGACATCAGGTGATAGATAAGTTTTGTGCACTTCTTTGTTTTCCTTTTGGTGGCGGGGAGCGATTCAAGAAAGTGTTTTGCGTTTTAAAAACAGCTATAAATATGGCTGGCTGCTGAAAGACTGCTCTATTTTAAGCTCGCCAGCTATAACGGACCTACAGCTTCGTGTTGATAACAGTAGGGCAAGAATGTGTCGTGCAAACGCATATGACGGTTGTAATTGATGCAATGCACTGATACAGTTACATGCATTTCAAAGATTATTCAGAGGTTTTTCTAACTTCACAGTTAGGGTCATGCATTTTAAGGTTTCAGTGAGTTTTTCCATTTATATTAAATAATCATAAGACAGCACTGCGCAAGTACGGATCAGTGCTGTTAAAGGCAGGGCTGTGCACATAGATTTACAATATTATGTCACTCAACTCTATGGAGGGTTTAGTCAAAAATAGACTGCACACAAAGAAAAGGAGGAAGACTCCAGGTGTGAAAAATGAAACCTCGTGGCCTACAGAGGATAAATTATAATATTACTATTGTCTTCCTGTTTGCTTTCTTCTCTGACTTCTCTCTGCAGTGGTACAAAGATGAAGCCAACACTTATAGCCATCTTGTGTCTACCTCTTCTCGTCATTCATATTAAACCTTCACTGGCTTCCAAAAGAGGAAAGTTTCCTCAGATAATGAATGCTTTTAAGAAGCCTTCAAAAACAAAACCTAATCAGGACACTAAGTCTAAGACCCAACAGTCCACACAGTTCAACCAAGGAGGTTACCCCCAACAACCAGGCAGACCAGGAGGTTACCCCAACACAGGAGGCTACCCTCAACAACCAAGCAGACCAGGAGGTTACCCTTACCAAGGAGGTAACCCCAACCAAGGAGGTTACCCTCAACAACCAAGCAGACCAGGAGGTTACCCTTACCAAGGAGGTAACCCCAACCAAGGAGGTTACCCTCAACAACCAGGCAGACCAGGAGGTTACCCTTACCAAGGAGGTTACCCCAACACAGGAGGCTACCCTCAACAACCAGGCAGACCAGGAGGATACCCTTACCAAAGTGGGTACCCTAATCAAGGATTCTACCCAGGGTACCCAGGGCATCAAGCTGGTGCTTACCCAGGACCGGGCTACCCATACTGGGGCAGTTATGGCAGTTACGGGGGTTATCCAGGCGGATACATAAACCACAACCCAAACAACAAAATCCTGAGTCCTCACTATGCCAGCAGCTTTGGGTATGGGGGTCATGGTGCTGGTGGCGGCTCTCCCTTCTCAAACTATGCAAAGGCACAGGGCTTTGTTCCCTCTGATAAATCCAAAGGTTTTGGTCGCAGAGCAGCATTGGCGGCAGCTGGAGGAGCTCTGACAGGAATGGCCCTGGGCTACGGGTTAGGAAGGTTCCCCCGTCCTCACTTTCACTTCCACAGCCCCCAGGAGGAGTATTACTACAACTACTACATGTACAGGAAGTATGGTATTAGATCTACTGATACAAATGACTTCAGCAGAGATTACGAATACATACAAGTTGATGTAACATTTGATAGTTTCATAAAGTCCTGCATGAATAGAGCAGATCTTGTCCCTGTAAAGAATCGAAAACCAAACCTCAAACCAGCTGTGACTACATCTAAACCCCCCACAGCTGCTACTGTGAACTCCACCATTGCATCAATTACTGCTGCTCTTGGCACTGCCAGCAGCGCCACAAGTAACAGCACCGCAACGAAAAACTCCTCAACCGATTCCCCTTCAACTCCTCACCCTCCGAATAAGTATGAAGACAATCCTGCACCTGCAGCTTCACAGCTCCTCCAAACTGATGATGACGACACAGTGAGCATTGTGGAGATTGGTTACCCAGCACTGATCACACAGGTTAAGCTCAAGAGGTGCATCGAACTTTACATCGTCAATGCTGAAAGAAACTTGAAGAAAAAGACCAAACTTGAAAGCAGCAGTGGAGCGCAAAGACTGCAGACAGACCTGCGAGGGCTTTTCTCTGTCATCACCAGCATTATAGTGATACTGCAAACACAGCTGCACTAAAGCCTTCTTTACACAGAGAAACTTGTGTGATGTGTTGCTCATTTGGTTTTTATATCTGACCAAATGAGTGTGCGATGAAACACTCACAACCCATATGCAACACTTTCACAGCCCACCAGGGGGCAACATAGCAGACCTTTATAATCACTGGTTTTTGTAGATATTTGCAGACACCAGAAGAATTGTAATCAAAGTCTAGATGTTTGGTTTTGAGAAAAATCTCAGCGAGTCTGGAGTAAATTATAATAAACAAATGTAAAAGTTTTCATCTTATGATTCATTTTGGGTCATACGTTGTGCATGAATGACATCAGTAGCTGAGTAGAGTATGCTTTAACTAAGATTGTAAATAAGTTAAAGTTTGTAAGCATGTCAGCATGCTAGAAGCAGGATGAATCTGAAAACACTAGTGTGAGCTGCAGATGGACTCTCATTGTATTTACTGAAGAAACCTGATTGGTATCAGCCCTAAAGATGATCCATTCTGATCTATTACATATATGATGGAGTCAAATATGTTTAAAGTAAAAAAATTCCAAAGCCATGCAATGGCCAGATTGGAGTCTTTACTGGGCTAATTCTGGCCTTATGTTTGACACCCCTGCAATAAACAGTAACCTCGTGTGATTGAAGTTGCACCCTTTTCCTCTCCTCTTCTGTTTGATTCAAATGAATCCACAGCCTTTATCATGAATTTTTACTTCAGGTCAGCTGGGATAAGTGATCGATGGAGAGAATTTTGACTGCAGTCACAGAAATGCAACACAGGAGGAAACAGGCTGCACTGGACCACAAGAGCAAAACATAAGAAAATAATTTGTATTTTATCTGACACGTTATAGGACAGATTTAATGAAGGAAATTATTCACAATTGCAGAATGAGCTACTGAAAAAGCACTGTAATTTCTATACAAAGACACACTTCAGTAAAACAAATGTGATATAATGGCTCAAAAATCCAATGTGAGCTCAGGTTTCCCACAAGTGCTTCTCTTTGAAAACAGCTTTCCAGTTACTGTGTCATGGATGTAGAGTGCACCGCTTCTTAGTTTGAATAGCACACTGCAACACTGAGGGATTAATCTAACACACCAAAGATTTTCTTTTTTACAGACTGAGCAGAGAGAAGTTGCTCTCTGTGTGCGCACTGCTGAGAAAAGGAAGTTCATTTCAGTTAATTTCTGCTCTGTTTCATGAAAACAGTGTTGCAGTGCTAAGTTTTAGCACCGCGATATCAGCTTTGAGTCATCCACGTAAAGTGCAGATTACGCACTAGTTTTGATAACATCTCTGCTCGTAAATCCAGGAGATTTTTAACGTCAGAAGATTTTTTCAGCTCCTACAGATGTTAGTCTGACCTCAAATGTTCCTTCTTCTTAAAAAAAGCCAGCTTTCGTAATGAAGGGATATTTAGCGAATTGAGGGGAATTTAAAACTGCTGGCTAAGGGTAAACGTAAATTCAGTAAAATTATAATTCATGCCGGCAGTAATGACACCCGATTATGTCAATCGGAGGTCACTAACCATATTGAATTCCCCTGCCCAATCAGACCAGGAGTGTCAAGTTTAGCCAGATGATATCTTTAAATTGCTGTCTGTCTGAGTGGTGTCCAAAAAATGACGTGGGCTTCATAGATAATTGGGAAACTTTCTGGAGGAAACCTGGTCTTGTTAGGAGAGACGGCATCCATCCCACTTTGAATGGAGCAGCTCTCATTTCTAGAAATCAGGCCAACGTATTAACCCCACAAAATGTGACCAGGAAGCAGAGTTGCAGTCTTACACGCCTCTCTGCAGCTTCTCTCCTCCTGTTATCCACCCAAACCCCATCCCCTGACTGTGTCAGCTCCCAAACAGACAAAAAAACAACAACTTTCTCTTTCTTCCAAGTCTCTGTTAGTACATGACTTAATAATTGATCAACAGATCGATTTAGTCTGCCTTACAGAAACCTGGTTGCAGCAGGATGATAATGTTAGCTTAAATAAAACAACAGTCCTGAGTCATTCTAACTATCAGAAACCTGAAGCACAGCTGAAGGGGCGGTGTGGCACCAATTACAGCCTATTACTCAAACAAAGACCAAGACCTCCCCCCCCCGAAAGGAGACACTCCCTGTTTTTGCCACACAAACATCCTCCAGTGACCAGCTGAGAGCTTTTTAACCGCGAGTGGTGAAAGCAAACACTTTACTCCATCATATCAGTACGCCTCTTTTTACAGTCTACATTACAAATAAACACAAGAGATGGTCAGGACAGAGATAAGCAAAGATAACTGTTCATATACAAAATTATTTACATATCAAACATTTCTTTAGGTCAAGTGGAAATTGGAAAGTGGAACTTTTTTTAAATGCCATAAAGACAGTTTTTTAATTAGAGTAAACAGAAAAGAAACTGAACAATGTTCTTCATGCTTTGTGGCCTGTTTAAACCCTGTTTCCTCTCTTGTCTGTTTCCAGTGTCTGCTCTGGTGAAAGGATGGCTGACGTTTCCGCACTGCCATTCCTGCGTTGTTGTAGACTTTCCTGAGTTCAAGTGCACCGCCACTCAAACCCGTTACTACAACCTGGCTTCCTGCTACCAAAGGAGTACTCTCCATGGGTTTCTCCCAGTTTCCTCTGGCTAGCCATTGATCCCTCTGCAGTCTGTCGATAAGCGAGCAGGCTTTCAACTCAATTTCCTTCAGAACTTAAAATTAATTATAGAACAATCACCTTTGGCAGAATCTAAATCTCTTCCTCTCGAATAGAGCTCCCCTGCCATGCTCCTGTAGTCAGAAACTCTTACCTGCTGCCATTTTTTCTGTTACCTCCCAAGTGTAAACACATCTTTTAAAACTGCAGAGTGTTTCTGAGTCCAGCTGTTTCAGTCCACTCATTTGGTAATTACGACACATGCAGCCAGACCTTTTCACTCATTTTCAATCCAGTCCTTATACCTGACCATTTTCAGAGAAATGTTTTTGTTTTTAAAGCCAGTTATCACTGCTCTATGAATGATTCAAGCATAAAAAGACATCGAGTGCATACTTTCACAAACAACAACGAACCAGTTTTAATGTTATATTTGGGCACTTTGTTCCTTTTTGACAGGTATAATAGAATAACTGCACTAACAAGCTGCTCCCAAAGAGCTATTAGCTGCAAAATAGCTTTTTCTTAAAAAAAACAACATAAAATAAAAATAGGAAACTGGACAAGCAGAAGGGAGTTTTTCCGTCCCAAGTGCTTACCCTTGGGTCATCTGATTGCTGGGATTTTCTCTGCATTATTGTTGGGCCTCTACCATACAGTATTAAGGTCACTGTTGTTGTGATTTGGTGCTATATGAATACAGTTGAGTTGAAAATGGAATCATTTATTCTTTCAGTATGAGCCAAATGTACGATATATGGTAAAACGTTCAGTAAAGCAGACACTTAAAAGTTGAACCATTAGTAAGTACACGCACTGAACTCTCGCTGCTGATTGGCTGTGGGCCCTTATTTGATTATTTTTCCATTTCCTTTTCCCCGGTGGATGCCGAGAATCGACTCCACCCCAGCCCTGCCCCCATCATCTTTTTCTAAGCGACCCACATCTCTCGTGCGGCCATATGTCAGACAGAAATGAAACAGTTGAAACCATAACCGGAGAGGTACGAGCGCCGCGGGGACATTATCGAAGACAAACAGGGAGGAAGGAACTCATCTGACTCACGGTCACCACACAGGTGAGGCTGTAGGTAAAGTAGAGCAATTCATGTTTCTACCTGTGATCTGTGCGCAGTTCACGTCACCTGGAGTAAACAGTCTTTATCTAACCGAGTATCAGGCAGTGGTTATTGCAGGGCGTATTCCAGTGAAGTTTTCCCCTTTTAATATGAATTCCCTGCATTAATATGCAGCTATAAATAAATTCTAACAACATGTAACATATGTTTTAATTGTTTCAAGGAACAAACCATCCACCAGGCAACTTGTTATTGCCTCCCATATCGCGGCAGCTCTTTAACAACAAGTTACAGGGAAAGGCATCACATACAGTTAAAAAAGTTTTTACAAGTATTTAAAGCAAAAATCATCGATTAGTTATCACTAGTCGCTGTATTAGCCTGAGACAAATAAAATGCTTACCATACCGAGGAGGTTATGTATAAAATAAAGAAAATACCTTTATTGCAAGTCTTTAATATATAATTTATAATCAATCCACTCCTTTTTAGCCACTTAAAATATTTTTATATAGCTATTATGTTACATTTGTTACAAAGCCAGCTGGCCTCTTGAAGAACAGTGAGTGTTTGACATTCATAAATAAAGAACATATAAAGGTCGCTTTGTCAAAAACCAATTTAATCTTTTAACTCATGGTAGAAATGGCATAAAATAGCTTGAGAACATTCACGACAGATATGCTTGACGTACATTTCACAGATTGAAGGCAAACAAGTCATTTAAAACTATTTAAATACAATCGCAACACCAGAATAAATAAAAGTTAATTAAATCAGGCTTAATTTTAATTGCTGTGTCACAGCAGCCGAACTGTTAAACACGACCTATAACAAGATCTGACAAGATAATTTAAACAACAGTTGTTGTTGTTTTTTTAAAGTATACAAAAGCAGCTATTTGTGTGTGAGGCGGGGAAGATTTTCGGTATCCAAAAATGCTCAGAT